GAAATAAAAGCAAGTCTCCATCAATAAGAAAAATCATTATTTAACTTGTGGCAAATTCATATTACATAATACTATCTAGATATTAAAAAGAATTTTCTGTATGTACATGGACTATCAAAACAAAAACATTGCCAAAAAACAGTACATATAGTATAATCTCACTTTTTAAGAAGTTAAATTATGTTAAGTGTCTACTGGTATAGAACTGCTTTATTTAAAATGGAAAAGTTAACACTTCAACAGTAGGATGAATTTCAGTTTGGGGTTTTATAAGTCAAACACTGAGAATAATTCAAGTGAAATTAAACATGAAACACTAAGGGTTTTTCAAAGTGCAAATTTAAAATACACCTCAAATCCAAGAWATAATTTCTTTAGATTTCAAGAATTTTGCCTCTGCTCTATTATAAATAGATCACTAACCAAAAGTGAAATTTTCATTATATTTTAAAACCTATCTAGATTGTTAACTGAAGATATCTGCCTGCAAATTTGAGACTTTTAATAAAAACATAATGACTTCCAAATTACTTTCTCATAATTACAAATCACATCTTTATCTTATCATGTTCAGTTAATACTTCTTCAGGGCAAAAATATAGCTCTGCCAGAAATTTTGTGCAATAAATCCCTGTAAGTAGCTTAGAACAAAACATTTGTTATATATGAACTTACATCTCAAGATTGCTAAGATTTAATTTTAGCCAAGTTTCTTATTTACTTCATGTACTGCTAGGTTTGAGTTCAAAATGAAGGGATTCTTCCCTTTGGAGAAAAAAAAAAGGAGAAATGTACTTTGATCTTGTTTCAGTGCTATTACACTACTTTGAATATTCTGAAAGTTTTACAGAGTTCAGTCTCCTGAGTTATGTCAAGACAAACATATTCTATCACGGAGAAATTAAAAGTGCAAAAGGCAAAATTACATTTACTTCATTCTCACTTATTAGAAAAGCAATCATTTCAGACATAGCTGCAACTGGGCAGTGTTTGTCTCGTTGTCTGCATTATTTTAAAAAGTGAGTTTTTCCCTTACTATTCTGTGTATCTGAAATAAAAAAAAATGATTCATTGTAAGTAGCACGTATTCAACCCTATCTTTATAGATTACAACAGCATACTTCTCAGTATTTATAAAGAGGGAACACTAAATGTTTTATTACATTATGTTCCTAAATAAAAAAGTAATTTAAAAAATATGGTTCATGTTTAAATATCATAGGAAGGCAAGAACTAAAACATTTTTTATTGAATGTTTAAATAATTAATGTTGTCTATCAACTATTTTCAGTCTTCCTCCTGGTGTATCAACCCAGCTGAARTCTTGTTTTGGCCAGAAACGAGTGAGTAAATGTGTATTTCTTTCAGGGGAAGCTCTAACAGACTGTGTATGATTCATCATGTTCTGTTGTTTCCCCTCTAGCATAAACAGCAACATATCATGGTAGATATTCAGTCACTTGAGTTCTTTGAAGTGATTATAGTGACAGGAACCCCCCTTTAGAGTGGACAGGAAGCACAGATAACCTACAAACATTTCTGAGTTTGCATCACTAAGATTTGGGGGTCGCTTGCTATCCTAGACCTATGTAGGCTTATCCTAGACCTATCTATACCTAGGCCACCAGATTTTAGAAACAATCCCATCTAAATTATGAAACTATGGTAAGACTCAGGTGAAAGAAACTTAGATGTTGCAGAGGAGTGGACAGAGAAGGAATAACAGACAGTAACACTGGAAACCAAGTCAAAATTCTTCCCATCTAATAGCAGGTAAAAATGGGCATTCAGGCTCAAAAGTTGAAAGTTGTATACGACCATCTTCAAAATAACCACTCTGGATATAGGTTCTCCACATTTATTATAAAGTCATTTAAGTTTCAAGCCAGTCAAAGCACTAAAATTACATGGGTTATATACCAATGCAAGCAACAACACATACACATCACGATTTAATCTCTTGTGCAAACCAGCAAATATGAAGAGCACAAAATACACTTATTCACATAACAAAGAAAAACACATTTCATCTACTATAAAAACACGTCAGTAATGAGTGGAAGTTCRACATTATTTACTGGGTGGCAAAGTCTTCTGATACCCAGATGAGGGAGCAAGAAAATATACATGCCCAACCTTGATATTCTGAYCCTAGACAGTTAATTAATTGGAGCAATGTTGGTGCACAGGAAAWGCTAAAGCAGTTTTCACAAAGGGCTCACTCTGTATTTAATAAATGTTCTTATTAGGGTTGTAAATTCAAATTATGCATAAAACTAAAGTGAATTTGTCTTTTCCTAAGTCTTAAAATGAGCATACGATACTATTATATACCACAGATTTATCCCTCCCCATATATATGGGTATGTCTGTGTGTGTGTGTGTGTGTGTGTGTGTGTGTGTGTGTGTGTGGACATTTAGGAATTTTCCACTTTAGTTATACAAATCATTATAAGCAACTTTCCATCTCTAGGAAAAAAAATTTTTTCAAAGGGCATGTTTTTAATCACTTAATTGAAACCTTCAGTAAAACATTTGATGTTTTGGATACCAGGGGTCAGCATTCTCTTAGTATTTATAATCATAAAAACCCATATGCATTTTTTTGGCTTAAACCACAAAAATTTATTTCTTACAGTTCCAGAGGCGGACATCCAATATTAGGATATGGCTGGGTTCTCTTGAGAGCTCTCCTTGTGGTTGAGGGAAATCTCTCTCATGACTCTTTCTATAAGGGCACTAATTTAAACAAATTCACAAAGACTCTAAAAAAGTCTGACAAGTTTAGCTTTTGCCTAGAATAATACAATTTTTCAGAAATCATAAGCTCAAACAGTATGTGAAGTTGCATGATTACTACTTTAYCTAATGCAAAGGGAAATTATTTCAGTTACCCTGAAGGTCTCATTACAAACTTTAAAACAGAGCTTACAACATTCAAATTAATGAACCTGTTGAAACTATTTGTACTATTTATTTCTGGAAATCAGAACAAATATACTTTCACTTGGAACATGAACAAAAGTTATTGGTGAATGCTACCCTCTATTATTTATTATACAGCAAATTTCCAAACTATGTGCAAAATATATATCAAAAGAAACAAATTCTGAAATCAGCTCTGCCCACTCTTGTGTTTGTTTGGTTTCTTTAATTATGCTTTCCTTGGAAGAAAAGCCTAAATCATGCAAACACATATTCTTTTATTTATTTTTTTTCCAGTTTTGGTGTCTGTATCATGTGTTTAACATCATCTCAAAATCAATTATATTGCCCTAAAACGATGCTCACATGATACAAGTAATCTTTCCAGATATGCAGAGTGACTCCATTGTCACTCCCCAAACCACTGCATCCCACATGGTCATATCACAGATCTCAGTTCAGATGCATATGGCTAGGACCACATTGTGGCAATACAGCAACAATTTTTCCATTACATTTTAAAGACTCTGGGAGAAGAGGCCTGGAGATTCTGAACGTGTTTCTTCTCAGTGCCTTATCCCAGTTGAAATACATGCAAATATTTGCTGCAGGTTTTTTATCCAAGATGACAAGGGAAGGTAGGTAGAGATCTGGTCCCTTGTGCCTCAGTTCACAGGACACCAATATTCTTAAGTAGTTRTAGAAAATAAATATCTGCTTTGAAAGTTTGTCTTGGCTTAAAGTGCTCTTGAAACACATTTATGCAATCTAATAGCAATCACAAATAGCTTCTTTTTAAACGTGTTGTATATACAAACATACACACACACATACATAATGTATATATACATATACCATAATGACCAATATGTAACTGTCATTTTAAACTAAAATGTGCAAAAACTTTGCAATTCCATGTCCAATTTGCATTAAGAAATTTTTGTCTGTAATTCAACKTGACAAGTATTAATCTAGCATATATTATGTGCTCTACATATGAGAATAAATTTGCAAGATTAATCATTTACTGGTCTTAAAATAAGAATATCATGTGCCAGTGTGTTGTGATCTGCTTTAGATTTGCAGAAAAAAAATATTGCCTTCAAATCTTCAATGAGGATACTTTCTTAATTTCTTTTAATTTACGCAGGACAATTTGCCAAAATCCACAAAGTTAACAATGACTTCCAATGGAAATTAACAATGAAAACCAGAAATTTATGAACATAATCATTTAAGTCTAGCTGAATTAAAAGAATTACCTAGAGTCTGAAAAGAGTTTCACATAGAAAATTAATTTTTAAATGGACCCAATTTAATGAAAGAAAGAAGTTTTTTTAGAAATACATTTCCCTACTATAAAGCAAAACTACATCCTATTCTCTGATGGACCTAAGACATTCTGAATGGGTACTAAATTCTTTGGAATGAATTACAAAAACAAGGGGGAAAATGTCTGATTTATTACTGGAAATTTGGGGGAGATTATTACCTTTGATTTCTGGTTGGCTATTAAAATGATGCCAAAATGCTTGGCTGATTTCCAATCTTCACCTTCAACACTGTAGCACAGGCTTTAGAAGATGCTATCTTACACATTCAATGAACCTGTTGTCAAAAGAGGATTTTCCATTGTCTGTGGTGAGTATTTTTGTGTACATACATGCATGTAAGGCAGAAAAACACTAGATGTAGATAATCTTTGAATATTATTTGTTGACTGTGTTTCTTTTATTCTCTGAAACAGAAATAATGGCACACAGCAAAGCACCTTTTGCCCATGTTCTTTGCTCACATCATTGGGGTATAGGCTGTTTGCATTATTCAAGGTAGAGCTTTTTAGGAACTGCTATCATGCAAGTTGCCTATATCTGTGCTAAGTTAAAGCCTCTGTATCTCTAAATATGAACATGTATAAACATACTAAATTTTTCAAAGGAAACRATTATTTAAAAATTTTAAATCTATACTTGCCAAAAAGCCTTCAAACAATTGACCTTCATAATAATAGATGAAAGTAATCATATCTGTCAAATAAGATATGAATGGGCCCATTATAAATAAACTCGATCAGACAACCTATGAGCCAGAACTGACCTATACAGTAGGTTTTTGTTATAAGCCACAGTTGAATCCCAGATGCCATGGTCATGCATATATTGACTGAGGCTACATAATGACTACTAAAACAGACCAGACAAAAATACAGGGGCCTTGTAGTTCAATGAGCTTTGTCTATGAAGAATAGCTACAAATAGTGATCCTAAAATAGCCAATCCACCGTGCAGGTAGTGTTAAGGTGTTCCCTAGTAAATAGGCCAAGTAAAAATACATTAGGCCTCAACACATTCATTTATTATAAAAGCATCAATCACACAGATAAGCTCAATTTTTTTTCTATTTSACTCCCATAAGCATTATTTCATTCTAACTCCAGTTGACAAAAACAAGTGAAAATATGCAATCATATACTACTATGACAAATTTCAAAAGCTGAATCCAAAGAAAGTTATCACCAACTACCTGCTGAGGTCTGAACTTTCCAGTTAGGCTATGTATATTTATCTAATTAACTGATATATTGCCCMMAATTTTCTTAATCKCGTTCTAGTCCTACACTGACTTACTGTCCTACTAAACTCGGTGCTTGCTGATTTTTTTCTGCAACTGGTGACTCAGAAATAGCAGCAACCTTTAAGGAATTTTTAATAGAGCTAAGCTCCCAAATATGTAAGCTGATGACATGCACTCCACAGCAGCGTCTGGCAAGCTTGAAGAGATTCTTAAGGACAGCCTTCCGGAGAAGAATATATACCCAGGGATCTAAGATTTGATTCCATGTTGCCATTCGGAGAGCAAAGAGCGTTGTTTCACAGGTCTCCTGAGAATTATTTCCATTTATGCCAATGTTGGCCATTGTTACCTAGAATACAAGAAAAACAGAGAAATCGATTGATTGCAGGCATTTTTTTTTTCAGTCCTGTTATTTTTAACTTAACTAGCTGTGCTACATGACCTTCATTCCACTTCCATAGAGTGATACTATGCTGCAAAATACGGACAAAAATAAACGATAGAATCACTGATACAGACATTTGAATCCTTTGAATTCAAATTGAATTCAAATTGACATCAGAACTACAAAACAGTAACTTCTAAAGTAAGTCAGATGTGCATGACTAGAATGACTCAGGGAGAACAGATGTTGACATCAGAAACCACCCTTCTTAGACTTCTGCAGATAATAATATCAAAGCCAGCACACATTTTGCATTTCAATAAAAACTAAATTATATTTAAGTACATAAATCATAGATAAGCTAACAGATTTTTWAAAAATGCACGCAGAACATTTGATATTAGTTTGTACATAGTATAATATTATTCTGTACTACTTTTAGAGTTTTCAGCTTGGTAACTACAATGATAATAGCATCTTCTCTTTTCTGAATCTCTCATCCCTACCATAACTAGGCTAAAACATTCTCAAAAGTAAACAATGGAATTTTCTAAGGACTTTGTAGAAATGAGCTTATCTCTATACTACTATATTGTGACTTAATTATAACAATTCATATTTTGGTCTCCTATGTCCATTTCCTGATCACTGTGATTATAAAGAGAGCATTTTGTAGAAACGGTTCTATAAATGGTCCCAGCTACTATTAGAATGAAGCAAATCACTGAGTCCAGCTTTGACAGCCAAACAGTTGCAGAACAAACAAATAAGAGGACTTCAAAAACAACTCAGCTATAAAAAATAATAAAAAATAAACARGAGATAAAACTGAAATTAAATGATACTGGGTCATCATGCCACAAAGACTCAAACATGATATCAAAAAAACCTAAAAATCCCAAATGAAAAGAAAATCAAGACCAATGTCAAAAAGAAGCATCTTTATTTGCAAGGCTGAGATCAATGCTTAAAGAATAAATATCACTTATCAAAACTTCCATGGCCTGTATGACATAGTGCAAACTCTTCAGCTGACGCTGTGATGGTACATCTGTAAGTTTACCTCTGTAATCTTATCTCCCCTGCAAATATCCTATGTTCCAACCACTGGCCAATATCTCGCTTTCAGAGATGCACCATGTTCTTTGAGCAACGGCTTATGTAACACTCTTTATTTTGAACTCCTATCCCCCTTTCTCTGCCAAACTTTCTCTGACAAACTCCTGTCTCTAAACCCCATATAAAACTCATGCATTTTTCCCAATCTTCACCAAGATGAATGAGCAGTTGCTCCCTCCTCTGTACTCCCACTGCAATTTGTCCAGTTATACACTTTAAAACAATGCATAATAATTATGCATTTACCTGTATATCTATGATCATCTTTTGTTTTTCTTCATATTTCTAATATTCAGTACAAGGCTGATATCTAAAATGTACCCAGTAAATATTGGTCAAATTTACTTATGTTATTTTTTATCCTTTGCATTTATTTTTGAAGCATAATGACTCATCATCAGAGAAACCTCTGACCATCTGTCACAAGGGTCTAATATTTTGAAGCATTAAGTGTTTCTAAAAGTTTTAATGTACTACTGAAGGATTCCAGTGTGGTTTGTTGGCACTTAAAAGAAGCAAGATATTGCTGTCCATGCAGATCACTTGGGCAATAGTCTTTTCCCAGGAAATAATGCATCAAAATGCAGACCTAAATATTCAGTAGCTAAATAAAATTAAAAGAGTATTTTCTGCACAACAGTACCTGGGTCAAATATAGACTCTCCTATCATTGTTGTATCATTGTTCCCTTAAATTATGCCTTAGGATTTTAAAAGTATACCTACCTATATGGGATCAATTACTCTAAGAAGAAAATAACACCAAGACTTGACTGGCATTTGGACTCAAATATTTTCACTTTATATTGTTTTGTTCACTCAACAAATACTTATTGATTATCTGCTATRTGCCAGACTGTGTGCAAATAATTGAAGATAAAAATGGTAAACAAAGCAGAAACTGTAGAATTTATAATCTGTTTGTTAAAATTGGGTGGGGAGAGTATAAGGATGAATGAATAAATATTTCTCTTGACTCACAAGTATTAAATGTATGCATTTTCTATTAATGAATAGGTATGTTCCTGGGTATCTACTCTGTGTATATGGGAGCAAATATACTCAGAACAATTGTGTGGAACAGTTGACGTTGCTTTAGAGATGMGCAAATTTAAAGCATCTCAGTTATATGGCATGCACTTCTCTGATTTTTCCTTTCTTCTCTGAAAATACTCCTATGTTCACCAACTATGAAAAGACACTGAATTTCTGAAGGAAACCAGAGCCTAGTCTTTTTTCCAGAATACCAGCACAGTGCCCAAGCACTCATAATCACTCTGTCCCTCCTTGACTACCAGCCCCAGTCATGAAGAAGGGTTGCCCCAAAGCCTTGGGAGAAGGAATTATTGTTTAGCTACCCACAAAGCTGTAGGTGAAATATTTCTGTAAAATAGATGTCATTAGTATTTTATTTATAATAGCATCATTGGTAATTCTGGATAACCTAAGTCTGAAAAAAACAGATGAACTATGATAATTTTACATTATGAAAATTTATGTAGGTACTTCTGTTTGTGATTCAGTTTTAACTTTTAAAATATTTTTAATATTTTATTTTAATTTARTTGGACACAATATCTTTATTTTATTTTTATGTGGTGCTGAGGATCAAACCCAGAGCCCCACACATGCTAGGCGAGTGCTCTACTGCTGAGCCACAACCCCAKCCCCTCAGCTTTAACTCTTTTAAAAAGAAAAATCACCCAGTTGCATTAATTGTATCATCTCAATTTTGAAAAAAAAAAAAACAACTGTTGTTTTTTGCATGGGAAATAGATTGGAGTATCTACATTAATGTTTTCATTGGTTAACCCTAGGCAGTAGAAACACAGAGGATTTTTATTTTCTCCTTTGGTTTGTGTTTAGTTTACTAATATTTTGGATAGACCATACATTGTTTTTACAAGTTGTGCTTTTTTTCCCCCAAGTAATTTGTGGAAATACACTATTTTACCAGAAATTGTATGGACTATATATGCATATTCATGCACATATGAGTGATGTGGTACTGAACGCTCCAAAGAATCGCCTGGAAAACGTAACTCTGGTAAAACTGGCAGGAGAGATGTGAGAGGTCAGGTCAGGCTGAGGAATGTCTGCGCGCTGGGCCAACATAGTCATTTTCCCTGGACCTGGATGACAGTTACTTCACATGCCTGGGAAGCATTCTTCTCTGACTGGCCCACCCAATCTTGCATTCCAGACAGCGTATCCAGACTCTCATCAATACTTCRCCTTTCATCTAGTTCCCAAGAGAACGAGAGGACATAGAACTAGAGGAATATGTATTATTTTTAAAAATATCTTCTATGGATTTTGGAAARTTACAATTATTCATCTTTATCAATGATTACAATTCTAACTGAGAAAATGGACAGGACCAAGTGTTTGCATAGTCTATAAGAAAACAATTAATTCATCTGATACCTCTAACACACTCAATACTAAGACAAGAGAGAAACAATGAAGTGAAAAATGTATAGGAAGGAGAGTTTAGGTGCATTGTCAAGTTTCAAGGAATAAAACATAATAAAATCAAATATCTATCTACTTGGGCCACATAATACAATTATATCATCTGTTAAGTTCAAAATTAATCAATCAGACAGACCACTTTACTCAGATAACAGAGCCCATGTAAACTAAAATTTTACTCTGGAAGCTATTTCACATCTGGGTCTGTGGACTAGATTCAGGAAAGCCATGGTAAATTCAATAATGGTGCTTCTGTTCCTTTGAGTATTCATAAAAGTGTATCAATCTAGAAGCAGGTAGTTTTTGAGTGTCTGCTATGTCCAGATCTTTTGCAAGATGCTAGTGATGTAGAGACTAATACTTAGATAAGTTCTACCTAACAAATTATATATTTTGCTAGTTATATAGTTTTTATTTGTTTTACCTAACACTAAAATATAATCTTGTTAAAAGCATGCCTTTTAGACTGACCAACTCTTTGCTGATTCCTAGCATCTGGCATACAGTAGGACAGTCAATATCTACTAAATGAATTGAATGAATGAAGTCTCTGAGAAGACACCAACAAGAAAGCAGCAGCTACAAAAGCCTTCAAAAACAACAACAAAATAAACAAACAAAAAACCCACTACTCTTATGAGTTCCATATACCAACTTTAACCATGCCTAAATTACATGAATTTCTACATTGCTGATTATAGAAGTGTTTTAGCTTTTTGAGTGCTTTGACTTAAAGACCCAACCAGCACACTTGTAGAGGAGGAATAGTTTTTTTGAGGGCTCACAATTTCAGAGGTCTTAATTCATAGGAGGCTGGCTCCATTCCTTGAGGATTGAGGTGAARCTGAACCTCATGGCAGGACAGTATGCAGAGGGAAGCAGCTCACATCAGGAAGCAGAGAGAGAGTGAGACTCCAGCTCCAGATACAAAATATTTACCCCATAGCCAAGCCCCCAATTAACCACTTCCTCCAGTCACACCCCACCAGCCTCTAGTTACCACTCAGTTAATCCAATTGGGATTAATTCACTGATYGGGCTAAGACTCTCATAATCCAATCATCTCTCCTATGGAACTTCTTGCATTGTCTCACATGTGAGCTTTTGGGGGACACTTCATATCCAAACCATAACAAGAAGATATAATATTTTAGTCCTTTCCCACTTATTGAATATCCATTATATTAAGACAATAGTTTGCAAATGGTGAATGATTCAGAAATAAATCAGAGAGAAATATTTCAAGAGGAAAAAAGGACAAAGTTATATARTATTTCTTGTGTCAAAAATCTAGAATAGCTGTGAAATTTTGTCCATCCCCAAAGTACACATCAGTACTGAAAAATTCACACATTTATAAAAATTCATTTT